ACAAAGAGGTTTCAGGGGGCTGCCTTAAAGATAACTAATATAATACACTTCCATTGTGTGCCCTGTCCCCAGCAGCCCCTCAGGGTAGGTTCTGAGGTTTACAGAGCTTATTTGCCCTGATTCTGTGATGAGTTAGTGGGAAAAGCAGGAATCCAAGATCAGGCTGTTCTCCAAAGGACAAGCTTCCAGTCCCCATTGTCCTGCTGCCCCTTGAGCAGGTCAGTAGGCTGTCCCCTTGGAGGCCTCTTAGTGACTTTACTATAGCCAGAGTTGTTTGTTCTATAGATTTTGGACTGTACTTTAATAACATACCAAAGCCAGATCTGTCTTTTTGAGGCAGACTAATATTAGCTCAGGAGACTGATGACATACAATAAAAATAACAATGTAGTAATTTAAACTGTGTCATGTAACTGTAAGGAGCATCAGCATGTTGTTCACTTCAGCATGCATGACCGGTGCATTCTTTCCCTGTAGGCAGACTTCTGTGGGAAAGCAAGTTATTATCAGCAGGTTGCTTGGTGATCATGGAATTGGAATAGGGGGAACTAAGCTATAATAACTTGATTGTTGAACGGCCTCAAATCATTGAAGGGCATCGCCATTTTAATTGTTTGCTTACAGCATTGAGTTGCCTGGGGATACCCATTTCCACCATAAGTAGGGGCCTCTGTGCTTGCATCACAGTATGGAGAGGGTGCCCTTTCTGCGGCTTCAACTTGGCTGTCTTGTTATTACTGTCAATCTCCAGGTGTCTGAAATCAACTCCTTATTTTCCATGAACAAACTGGAGCCATTTTTTTTTTTCCATTAGAAGAATTATTTTCTCTGACCAAGAGTCAAAACCTGAACTTGAAATGTAAAAAAAAATACAAATTTTTCATGTAAGCATAACTTTCAATCTTTTTTTAAAAAGGACCCATTACATTTTTAGATGAATTAATATATGTAAAGCTCATAGTTAATATTTTTGAGCTACTCCTTTCTCTTCTTACTTTTCCCGTACCCCTATTTCTTATAAACCCCTCCAAGGACTTTTACGCAAGGAAACTACCATTTTAATCCCAAACATAAGATGAAGTCAAGGGTAAGGTAAGACCTGGCCAGCAGCTTTCCTTTTTTAAAAATTTCCTCTGCTTTGGAGTGATTTCAGAAAAGAAGGAATGTATTCATGTTAATATTGTTTGCTCTAATACTTGCAAATGGTTGGATCTCAAAATCCTAAATTCCTATTTCTAGAGCTAGATTTCACTTTAGCGAATCTTTTCTCTCACCTGATTTTGTTTACTCTATTTCCTTAGACCTTCACTGATCCAAAAGTTCAACAAAAGATGAGTTTTTCTTTACTCCAACATCCTTTAGAGGTGAAGCAAGTGTCAGCTGGTGTATTTTTGGTGAGTTGATAAATGTGCAAGAATGAAAGGCGTATATTTTACTTTCTTTAAATGAAACTAGAATCTGCTATATTAATTACGGCTCTCTCTTGCATATGCCTGAATTGCCACTGTTACAGGGAAAGATTGGATTGGAGGAAGCATAGATCTGAATGTCAATTCTTAATTTTTGTTATAACTTTGTGTCTCAGAGAGTAAAAACAACTCAAATAAATCATTAATAAGAGACCTTTCATAAATATTATAGAAATATTGTTTAATTCATACAACACTTATTATTCTGGATTAATTATGAAGTAGAGAACATTTTGTACAAAAGCAAAAATGGCTAAAATTTTAAAAATGGGTTTATTCAATGTCTTTAAAATGAAAGCTTTAAAAGATACATTGGAAAATATTAGAGAAAGTAAAAGCAATGAAGTAGCTGTATGACTTAGAAGTAATTTTAGGAAGAATATCATATGGCTTATGTTTGATTATCTAGGGGCTTTTAAAATGAGAAGTTCTTATAGGAGGATCTAAAATAAGGGAGGGAAAGGGTTACATGGATAGTTCTCCTTAGTTACCTGTATTTTGCACAAATGTTTTTAGGTTCATCTTTTGTATTGGTTGTCTGTTAGTACTCTCCCTCAGAGCAATCTAGCAAACCAATAAGGAGAAAAAAATAAGTTGGCCCGTGGCCAGTACTCTTATTATCTTCTGGAGAGATTGAATTTCTTTTTTCTGCCTGCATTTTCATTGCCACCTGTCAGGGTGTAGATTCCCCTTTGCCATCTTGCTTAAAGAATCGCTTTCTTTCACCTGCTCCAGGGACTCTGAGTCCCTGAAAACAGAACATGTTCACTTAGTCCCCAGAGAGAGTTTTCAAGCCCCAACAAATTGGCTTAGAACTTGCTGATGAGCCTTAATCTTTTGGCCAGATGGGGCCACCAGATCCAAATGTCATTGTCATAGAATCCATTTATCCCTCTCCCTGATGCCATTTTTATCTGTTGCTGTGACTATTTTTTTTTTTTTTTGAACAGAGGTAGCCCTTTGTGGACAAAACTCCCTTTTTGTCCATATTATTTCTCGCAGGAAGTCTTCACCTTAAAAATATCCTTCTTGTGAATCTTCTTTTATAGCCAGAGTCCCTTCCCTTGCCTTCCTCCTCCAAGATTTCCTTATTTCCCCCTTTGTTCTTGTACTCTTAAATTTACCTGCAATACTCTTTTTACCGTTAACCAAATATTGCTCATTCTTTAAGAATCTTCCTAGGCTGGATATGGGGGCGCACAGGAAGATGGGGACCAGCCAGAGTGGGGAGCATCCCAGAAAGCCATGATGGCCCCTACCTTGGGAAGATCTGAGACATTTTGGCACTTGGGGCTGGGGTCTGGGAAAGGATAGTTGCTAAAAGGGAAATGCCTTTTAGTATCGGGAAGCCCTTGTTCTATTCCTTTTAGAAACTGAGGACACCAGTAATTTTTTCAATGATCCAATATTTATTGAGCATTGCTACAGGCCAGGTTAAAAGCATTGCTATATGCCAGATAGTGGAGATTCAAGTGTGGGTGAGACAGATGAGGTCTCTACCCTACTAGAATTTGTGGACTAATGGGGAAACAACCCATATAATAGGGAAATATGTTTTAGAGTTATAGGGGCTCTGAAATGGGAAGCTCTGGATTCTGTGGGAACACGTAGGAGGTGCTCCTGTCTCTGATTTGGGGGACTAGGATGGCCTTTCAGAGGAAATGGTGCTTAAGTTGACATTGGAACATGAGTGACAGGTAGTCAGGTGAAAATGTTAGAGATGGAGTTTGATGATAACAGGCAGAAGGAAAAACATGTGTTAAGTTCCTCAAACAGAAAGAAGTATAGACATGAGAGGGTGCAAGGAGGGGTGAGGGCGGTGAGGAGAGCGACCCGCAGTCAGGCGAGAAAGATGAGCAGGGACCAGGTTGCAGAGGGTCTAAAAATCATTTTAGCATTTGACCTTTTTTTCCTAAGGCCAATGGGAGGTGATTGGAGGGTTGTAAGCAAAGGCAGGACCTGATACCATTTACCTTTTATAAGGATGCCTCTGGCTTCACTCTGGACCTGGTCTACAGGTGGCCAAGGATGGAGCAAGGAAACTTGTTAGGAGAAATGCAAGGGAAAAGCAGTCACCGGTCAGCAGGCACATCCTAGAGGCTGGGGTGGGGGGAGCAGTGAGGTGGGGAAGGAGGGACTGTCTTGGGCAGCCTTGGTGGCACTTGGTAGAAGATGTGGGAGAAGGAACAAAAGAGTTATATATTTGTTAAACATTTGAGGCTCTGTCCCTGCTTCTGGCAGCACCTGGCAGCAGTATCCCCATCTTCTTGCTCAGATTTATCAGTTTTAGTAACTGGTCCCTAGAAAAGCAGTGGATTCCGCAAAGTGTCAATGGCCCTTTCTGTCAGGCATAGCCCAGGGTTGGCTATGCCCACAGCAGGCCGTTATTTTTCCCAGAGGTGGCGGATGGGAAGCCATGGATCTGGGGGTCATGGCAGGCGGAAATGTCGATGGTTTCAGGCTTTTTAGGCTCAGAAAGATTTATAGTGCAGCAATGGGTGTTGATAAACTTTCCTGCCTCCTCTTTTCTTGTGACTAGTAAGCTGTAAGCTTTGCTCTTCCTCTTTTTTGGTCTCCATATGACTGACAGGCTTCTTGAAGTACATATACTGCATCCTGCCATGCTGCTTTTTTGAGCAGGCAGCAAACAAGTCATTTCCCTTTCTAACCAAAAGAGCACACACCCACTACCTCTGCCTACATTGTCACGTATTTGCTAAGGTGCCTGAGTTCATTTCCATGGTCTGTGAAGTTCTAAATCATTTGTTTGCCTATTCGTTCATTCATTCATTCATTCATTCATTCATTCATTCATTCATTCATACATTCATTCATTCAATATCTTTCATACAGTTTACCATATGAAAGAAATTAGACCACATATGGGGACAAAGTGAAAGATAATAATGACAGTATTCTGTGAAGTGTTTTTTGTGTGTGTATGTGTGTGTTTTTTTGTAATCCCCTGGAAGAGGGAATTACATGAGAATAAATTGAGGACAATTTTTGAATTGCATTTTGTTTCTCTAGAGCCGGGCCAACAATTTCTTCTCACATGTAACTCCCATGGTTTAGCAGCGGCTTCTAGCTCTGGCTGTGGGAAGGAATCACCTATAGCACTTGAATAAAAGTCAGATGCTTATATAAATGTCTAATCATATGTTGTACAGCTGAAACTAATATAATATCATAGGTCAACTTTAACTGAAAAATAAAAAGACAGATGCTGGAGCATCACCCCTGAAATATTCTGATTCATAGGGTCTCGGATATATTAGAAAATCTGGCTCAATTAATGCCCAATTGTATAGCACACTTGTGCTTATCTTAAGTTTGTCTATACAGCCTTATAGGATTATTCTTAACTAGTTAGATTTAAGTCTGACACTTGAAATCTGTTATTCCTTCTTGTGCCAAAGGCTTCCTAGTCACCTAGATTTGACTAGGAAGAAAGTTAAAGGATAGACATTTATGGTTAATGAGCATTTTTCAAATTCTAATGTTGTCTATCTGTCCTGTTTTCTTATGTAGGCCCACTCTTGAGGCCTGGTGAAAAATAATCAGTGCAATAATGTTCTGCAGTAAAAAGAAACCACTTGGTAAGTATTGAGTTCTTCAGATCATACAAAATAAATGTGATTTTTAAGTTAAATTAAATTTTATTTTGTGAAAGAGTACTGAAGACAAGATACAGAGCATTTCTCTCGCCCCAGAAAGTTCTCTTACACCCTTTTTCATTCATTCTCGCTGCACTCCACACAACCATCTTCTAATTTCTATCAGATTAGTTTTGCCTGTTTTTGAAACTAACATAAATGAAATAATACAGCATGTATTCTTGTGTCTTGCTTCTTTTACTCAGCATAAAGCTTTTTGACCTACATCCATATAGTTGCAAATATCAATAGTTTGTTCTTTATTTTTTTCTTTCAAAGCAATCTTACGTTGTATGAATACACCAATATTTAAAACTACCGTCAGGCAGTTAGAAATGATTTTGGTCCATGATGGCAGGAAACACTTTTTTTTGTTGTTGGGTAATTGTTCTCGCTGAACAACTTTGATAATATTCCACTTTCCTTAATACAGCATCCCAGTCAGATTGTACTGATGTTCTTTTTTTGCCTCTAGTTAGTCAGTGACAGACCATAGTGTAATTTTTCTTTAATGCAGATGTATTTGATTAATTACTGCTATTGTCTTTATATTTGACCATAGACTTTGTAGGGACTAAAGGCTGGATTAGAGTTTATCTAATGCACTGTTCCTCCATCTAATAATGTCTCTGACAGGCGCAGTTCATTCCCTTTTTGAGCCTCATAACGAGCTGAAATCTGTCTCAATTTAGTTCCTACCCAGAGGTAATTAGTTATACCCTCTGGGGCAATATTTTCATATTCCCAACGCCAATCTAAGAGTTTAGAATCACTGTCATCATTTTTTCTTTTTCAAATGAAGTGATTTGTTTATATCATTAGAATAATCTTAATAGTGTAAATATTAGGTTAACCAGCTTTAACAGGGGCAAGTTTCCAACAAGATTTGTTGTTGTAGGGTTTGGTATGTTTTGGTGACATAGCTGAGTCTGACCTGGCACTGATTTGCAGAGAAAGCTGAGGCCAGCCTCTTCCTCTTGGACTTGTTACAATGGCCACATGACTTGAGGGACTGACATCTGTGTTTATCATTTGCATCGTCATGATTGTGAATGATGCATCTTTAGGTTATATCAGTTTCTGTAGATCTGGTAATAGACTGAGGAGCTTTTATAATCTAAAACATTCATTTACTTACACAGTCAGTCAACAAATATTTTTGAGCTCCTATGATACGTGAGGTAGTGCCTGCCTTTCTTGATTTTAAGAAGCTTTTTTGATTGAATGAAGTGCATGTATCTTTACACTGTTGTTAAGTTTACAGTAGCAATGATAACTTAAAAAGAGCTTACTTTTAGTAAACATTACTACAAATGGTGTATTTGCCAGAGGAGCACAGACTAGAGACCTTCTCATCAGCCTGAGGTTGTCAGGGAAAAAAATCATGCAGAAGTGGTATTTTACCTCAGTGAGATATATAATATCTTCATCATTTAATTAAGACATAGTCACATTTACACAAAATTTCATAACATCATCAGGAAGCTTAGGCCATTGATGATGTATACAAAAGTATAATAAGCCGGTCACAGTGTTGTGGGGAAAAAATTATTTTCTCCCAGATACACTTTATTAGTTATTATCTCCATATTTCTATAAATCTTACACTCTTAGCCTTTAGTATGTGTTTGGGGTGTGGGGTGGGAAAAATCAGGCTAGGGTCACAGGTCTTTTGTGGGCCCTTCCTCCAAAAAATATTAAAAATTGTATTTTACAATTGTGGGTATACAGACAAATATAATCCAGATCAAACTTATTATTATATATTCATTATTATTATATTTATCGTGTCTTCTGATCTTAAAATATATGAAAATTTATTTTTCATATTTTTGTGTGCCCCTGAAAGTTTTGTGGACACTAGGCACTGCATCTTCTGTGCCTACAAATGAGGCAGTTCCTTGATTGAAGTTTATAAACCTGTTTCTTGGGCATTTTTTTGAGCATACACTAGGTAATGGGAACTGGGTTGGTCCTGCAGTAGAGCATTGGTTACAAAAAAGGTGAATAAGACATGGATCCTAGCCTTATAGGTACCACATCAATGTCTATAAAAGTCCATACATGTGTATTAATAGATGTGTTTAAAGAGTATTATTTCTCCTTGGATTTATCCCTTATGGAAGAAAAACAAACCCAAAAGCTGTTTCTCAAGTAGTTTTGCAGTTACACTTGTGAAGGATTTAGTTTTTGGTTGAACTTGCTTTTTGTCTACTATAGTAATTTGTGTGTAAAATTGGATCTAGTTTTTTCAAAAACATGGGACCAATTCAATGAAGTGCCAATTATTACTGACCCATCAGTGACGTACTTAGGACAGTGCTGACTTCACAAAATCCCTCTCCTAACTTTGGGGTTAGTATTGGCTAATGAGGTCTCTTCCACATCTTAATAACTGTTGGTGTCCAGAGGGGAAAGGCCGTGGGAATTTTTCTTTTTTCTTTTTCTTTTAGTGTGAGAGAGGAGGCTTGTTGTCTGGACCCCAGCACCATCTGATATGAGACAAAGGGTGATGGGGGAAATTAGAGTGGAAGAGACAATGAGCTTAGCCATTGTGGCTAAAATATTTTACTTTTGCAAATGAAAAACAAGCAATGCAAACACATTTCTAGGCTATTCTCAGAGCCTTGGAATGGGAAGTGCAGCGAAGTGAGCTGAAGCTTAAGCTTTGCTGGCTTCTTCATAAGTCTGCTGAGGCTGTAGCCTCAGAGAGGCTACAGGGTGAAGGTGTGAAGATCAAGCAGGGCCCGGAAGGCCCCTGCAAAAACTTGCTTCTGTCTTGAGATAAGTGTCATTGGCTGTTTTGAGCAGAGGGAAGAGACGATTCTTGTGGTAGCCAGAGTGATGCTTCCTCCCCCGAAAGCTCCGTGTCCTGTGCCTTGGAACCGGTGAATATGTTACCTTACAGGGGAAAAGGAACTTGGCGCATAGAATTCAGTGAAGGATCCTGAGATGGGGAGATTATCCTGGATTATTCAGGTGGGCCCAGTGTAACCATAAGGGCCCTTATAAGAGAAAGGCAGGAGAATCAGAGTCAGAGATGGCGACATGACGATGGAAGCAGGGTCAGAGTGACGTAGCCATGAGCCAAGGAATGTGGGCAGCCTCTAGAAGGTGGAAAAGGAGAGTCTCCCCTAGAGCCTCCAGAAGGAACACAGTCCTGCTGAAACACCTTGATTTTAGCCCCATAAAATTCATTTTTGGACTTCTGACTTCCAGAATAAGAAGATAATACATTTATGTTGTTTGAAGCAACTAAGTTTGTGGTGATTTGCTAAAGCAGGAAATGAATACATTAAAAAAAATAATCACTTTGTTGCTCTGTTGAAAATAGATCATAGAGATAAGGGCAGAAGCAGGGGGCCCCAAGGCGAGGCTCCTGCAGCAGCCGCAGGGAGAGGTGAGGTGGCTTGAACCAGAGTGAGGGCACAGGAGGGGGTGAAAAGAGGACAGATATTTTTTCTTTCCAAAATTCTGTCTCCTTTATGTCTCTTTGAAAACATGTACTATTTGAATCCTTCATGCATAGATAAGTAAAATGAGACTCCTATTTTTTCTTTTGGTATTCTCACACTTGGTCCTGCTAGAAGGAACAGCTGAGGAGAAACTGGTGACGTGTTCGTGCAAAGTCCACATATTACCCCATGTCAGGTGGCAGACCACTTGTACCAAATTCCTTCTCTTTTCAGTAAATGACTGCAGCTCAGCTTGGATAAGGTGCTTGATAGAACAACCTACCACATCCCACAGTTTGTAAACAGCATAAGTTCCCTTCAGAACCACATGGGACAAGTGGCGATGCCTTTTAGCCACCCATTTGAACTTGACTTTCTTCTGGTTTCCATGGCTCCCTAGGCCTCTCCTCTGTTTCCTTGCTGTGCTGGATTTGTGGGTGTCTTGTTTGGTTTTCCTTCATGTCCTAGAATAGACCCTTGCTCAAAGGAGCTCAAGAAATATTTCTGGAATAAGTAAATCACTTTGTCTTGGCTCCAGCAGATTTTATTTGCCATGTGGCTTCAGGAGTCTGAGACACAGAAGCCAATACGTACTAAAGAAACTTAACTTACAACCCAATGCATTTCAAAATGACAACCACAAACTTTGAAAAAACAGTTTCCTGTGCAACCTCTGAAGTATCAAGCAGATAAGAGACTGCCTCAGGCTTCTTTCTCACTTGCCTTTCTTTTCCACCAGGTTTTATCCCTCTCACTTTGTGACAGGTGGTTTGCTTTCCTTTGGATGGTTGGAATGTGTCTCATCTTGGAAAACTAAATGTCTTCTAGCTTCTTCCAGGCTCTTATGATCCTTAGGGTAGATCCTGTTTTGTTTTGTTTTTGTTTTTTCCTTTTTTGAATGGGGGTGCCATAAAAAGGTAAAGCTATTTCTATCTTTACAGAAAGCATTCTGATCCAGGCATAGTCCATAAAAAATGAAATTTTTCCTATAGATAATTAAATTGTAAAAGAATGTAGATAAATAAACAGCCATCTAAAACAGTAAGTTTTGAAGAGAGATTGGGGAGAGTATTCTCACCACGGAGAGGGCAGATCGGTCTTCTAGGAAGGCCCCCATGGTGAAATAGAGAAGCCTAGAAGCAATGGAAGGTAAGAGGTCACAGGGTCACAATGGTAACTGGGAGGTGGTGTGTGATTTGAAGGACATTCTGGAACACAGTATTCTATGAGAGAGGCCTCTTCTCTCTCTCAGCCTCTGGACACAGACACACACCAATGTGCACTTCTCAGTCATTTCTGCACAGTATGAGCGACCACCTCTTTATACACAGAATTTCTTTCAAGCTTCTTTTAAAAGGGAGACAGTTTGAAATTTGAATTCTGATTCTATTGCATAATTTGACTAAGTCTTTTCTTCATTTGTAAATTAGGGATCATAACAGAGTGTACCAAATACGGTTGTTTTGAGAATTGATGAAATAATGCATG